GTGTTGACAGGGTTGGTTTCTTCTGGGGCTCCTCTCCTTGGCTTATTGATGGCTGGCTTTTCCATGTCTTCACATTTTCCCTCTGTGCCTGTCTGTGTCCAAATTTTCTCTTCTTAAAAGGACACTATACACTTGTACCCCCATAATACGCTAAAAAAAATAAAAAGGACACTAGTCATATTGGATTAGAGCCCACCCTAATAACCTAATTTTAACTTAACCACCTTTTCAAAGACCCTATCTCCAAAGGCAGTCATATTATGAGGTACTAGGATTTAGGACTTCATCACATGAATTTTAGAGGGATACAATTCAGCCCGTAACACCACCATGAACATTTTTAAGCATATAGTTCAGTGGTATTAACTATATTTACACTATTTTGCAACAACCCCACCGTCTACCTCCAGAACTCTTTTCATCTTGCAAAACTGAAACTCTGTACCCACTAAAGAACTCCCTGTTTCTCCTCACTCAGCCCTTGGCGACCACCATTCTATTTTTTATCTCTATGGATTTGATTACTCTAAGGACCTCATATAAGAAGTATTTTTGTCTTTTTGTGTCTGGCTTCTTTTGCTTAGCATACTGTCCTCAAGGTTCATCTATATTGTAGCATGTATCAGAATTTAATTCTTTTTAAAGGTTGAATAATATTCCACTGTATATAGGAAAGCAGGTTAGTTTTAAATTTGAATGTTTATCAACTTAGCACATTGCTTTGTACATGGTAAGTACAATCAGTATTTATTTCATTAAATTGGGTTAATCTACCTGTATGGCTAGGATAGGGGAGTCTAGGAAGAACTCCGTAGGTGTACCAAGGTGTCATTCTTAGAACTTAGACTTTCTTTTTCAATATCAACACAAAGCTATTTTGATACTCTCTGAAGTATTTTAGATATATCCTAAAAGTAGAGATTTAGTTTTATCAGTGAATTAAAGCCCAAAGAGCATTAGATTGACTAGAAAAATTTACAGATCTTCCAGGCCTTACTCAATCCTTTTTGGTCTACGTAGAAACTTCTAAATAGCTCCTTGGAGTAAGAATAGATTGACTCAACCCAGTGGGAACCCAGAGACCCATATTTCTCCTTCCCTGGTTCCCATGCACTAAGCCAGAAGGAGCGATAGAGAAGTGTTAGCCCCTGGGGGGTGGTACTATTTTATAGAAGGGATCAATTTTCTAGTAAAGGCCAGAAATCCCTGGGCCTCTGGAAAAGCAGAATGAAGCTTGAACTTGAAAGTACAATAAAGACTCTTGAGTTCATTTTCAGTTGTAATAGCCTTAAAGTTCCCTCCAAATGGGACGAGTACTCTCAGCCATGAAGGGCAAAGGGGCAAAATGGTGCCCTTGTAGAAGGTCGGCAGGCAACCCCGACATAATCTACATTTGGTTTATGGATTTGTTTGTGGACTTACATTTGAACATGGATGTGTCAGGTGTTCTGGGGATATACCTCACACAAGATAATGAAGCCATACTAATGAAGACCTGGCCCAGGAGGAGCTGGGAGGCCATCTAGCTTCCACCTCCTGTTCAACTCCTTGCTGGGAAGAGAGAGCTCATCTCAGACTGATTCAGAGCATTGATGTCAGGTCCATGAAACACAAGCCACTCTATGCTGAGTGTGTACCACAGATGCCCAGTGATTTATTCCATAGATGAGTGTCTCTCTCAGCAACATTACAGATTGCCAAAGAAGACCCATACCTAACCACTACCCAGTCAGGGAGGGACCCAGAGAGAAAGCAGGGCCTGCAGACCCGTTGGCCTCTCCTTCCAGGCTAGCTGTCTCATGGCTGTGTCTAGAGAGTATATGGAGGCTATCCCATATAGGGATAAGAACTCTATTCCTGGAAAAATATAAGCATCTGGCCACCACGAGCAATAAGACTTTTAGAACCAAAGGCCTCCTTTAGTGTGTAATGAGACTTGGCAGTTAATCAAGAGCATTCTTTGGAAATATCCTGGAGTCGTACAGAGGCCTCTGCTGCCCACTTCAAATGAGAAAAGCTTATCTTACTCCAAAAGTTCCCCCCACATTATTGTAAGTGGGTTTTCATCGTTGCTTGTGTAAAGATCTTGTCAGGGAGGCAGAACATGATGACTATATTGGAACAGCAGAGAGACCCAGAAAGAACTGTGTTGGTATGTGCAGACTGGAGTCAACAGCTTAGACCTTCTTAGATACTGCTTACTGTGGATGGTGCTGGGTACTTTTTCCTGGAGTTTTTCTGTGTTTGAAAAAAATTATTACTGGCATTGTGGTCATATTTGCCTGGCTTAAAAACTTATTTTTGAGTAATGCCAATGATATTTTGATGCTACCATGTGCCCCAAATAGATGCACATCTTCCTAACAAGTAGACAGGGTTCTTCCATGGTAGACACAGATGAATGATTCCCAGGATATTCCAATTCATCACGGTAGATGTAGCAGCCTCTCCAAGTAACTGTCATAGGAAGACTTCAGGAAAAAAGTTGGTAGCACTCCTAATAATGGTTTGCTAAGTGAAGGTATAGATACTGAAGGTTGAGACTTCCAGTCTTCTGTTCCTCTCAGCTGAGTGGCAGCAGTCTGGAAGTCTTCTCTGGAAAACCTGACTAATCAAGGAAAAATACTTGCAGATATCAATAAGGGAAGAGAGTCTCCTACAAAATGACCTGGTTGGAACATTCAAAAGCAACACATTATTATTAGAATCACCTGGAGAGATTTAAATGCCTGTCTGTGCCCTTCTCTTATCCCCAAATGATGACATCAGAATTTCTGAGGGTGGGGTCAAGTCATTAGTGCTAAAAAGCATCCCACGTGACTGTGGTGTGTGGCCAGGGTTGTGAACCACTGCTGTAAGGGCGGGCAGTGGTTGGCAAGTCCCACCTCCAGCTCTGGGGGTTTGTCCAGCACTGTAGTGATGCTTTCTTAACTGTGAATGAACAGTCCAGGCTCACCAGACATGTAAGAAAAGTTTCTCACTTGAAAAAGGCCAACAGAACCAGAAACAACAGAGACTATGCAAAAGGATTGTTAAAAAAAATCTATCTTCAGTGTCTTCTGAAAGATGAGAAGTTATTACATGAGTGAAATGAGAAAAAAGTGGGATTAAAAATTCAGAAGACAGAAAAATCTCTTGGATATTAAAACATGATGGCAGAATTATTGTGCAAAATTTTTGAATAAAAAAGGGGAAAATGATAGAAAAATATCAATAAAAGGTAAAGTTGAGGAAATCAGAACACTGAGCAAAAAGTCAAAGAGAGAGAGATAAGAAAGTCAGAGAGATGGAAAATAGAGACAAGAACATGAGAGGTACCATCCAGGAAGTCCAACATCCAAATAATAAAGAGTTTCAGAAAAAGAACAGAGAAAACAAAGGGGAGAAATTATCAAAGAAACAATTCAAGAAAAGTTCCCAGAAATGAAGAACACGATTGAAAGGGACCACTATGTGCCCAACACAAGGGGGGAAAACAGACCCACTCTAAGACATAGCATAGTAAAACTTCAGAAGTGCAGAGAGAACTTCCAGAGAGAAAAAAACAAGTTTCAAACCGAGGATGGAGGATGAGAATGGCACCTGTGCTCTCAGCACCAATAGTGGAGGCCATAAGACACTTGGCAAGTCAATGGCAAAGTATTTTATTTCTCTTGGCTCAAGTTCCTTGTCTGTAAAATGGTCCCAATGTTGTGTAACCTGAACTTGCTGAACAGATGTGGTGGGATTTCCCCCTTTTTCTCAGCCACTCTGGTCAGGGCCGATCTCCATCCCCCTGTTGTGTCATTGGGAGTCTCCAGCAGCTCTTGTGCTCTTCAGATGGGAAAGGTTTGCTCTAGTCTGCTCTGAAGTGGAGCAGAACCCCTCTTCCCCTCTGTCTCTTCTGTCCATGCCATTAGAGGGGTCACTCAGCGGTGCTGATTATACCCTGACATCTGGCAGAGTTTGTAACAAATCAGTTTGTATTAGTTTCCAGAGACTGCCATAATAACAGAAGTTTGTTTTCTCACGTTCCAGAGGCCAGAGCCATGTTCCTGGGGAAGGCTCCAGGGTGGAATCCCCCGGCCTCTCCCAGCTGTGGGAGGTTCCCTACTGCTTGGCGTTCGTTGGCTGGCAGTTGCATCTTTTCACACCTGTCTCCTCTGTCTTCACACGGCCTTCTGCTCCTCTGCTCCTCGTGTGTCTCTAGGTCCTCTGCTCTTGTAAGGATGCCAGTCATTGGATTTAGGGCCACCCTAATCCAGTATGACCTCATCTTAACTAATTACATGTGCAAAGACCTTATTTCCAAATAAGGTCACATTCTGAGCTTCCTGGTGGGCATGAATTTTGAGGGGACATTATTCAACCCATTACACAGCTCTTGTACAGATTTTCTTACTCACGCCTGGGTTCCTCCCCATTACCCACAGGATGGGACAGGAGCAACAAACAGTCCAGAGGGGCTGGGGCAGGTGACAACTGAGTGACAGATACCACGCTTTACTCCAAATCTGCTATCCTTTCTCTCAACTAAGTTTATCCTGCCCCGGCCACCAACTGGCTCCTCTTGACTTCAAAATGTGATGGCCCCAAGGGATTTGGCCTTCCTGCTCCCAAGAGGGTTTATATATGGTCATAACATATCTTAGGTTGATGTTTAAACCAAGCCTCTAGTGTAAGTGCAGGTAGAGAGGCATTATATATAACGTTGCTGATTCTGCTTATTAAAGGCAATTGAGTGCTTAACTACTTCACATACATCTTTTTAAAAAAATTTTTTACTAATATTTATTTTATTCTTTATTTTTGTTCTTTCATCAGAGTATCCCAAAGGAGCTTAATTCACATACATCTTATCTCTTTTAACTCCCATTTGTTCAATGAATATTTATTGTACTTGCAGCAAGCACAGCAAGATTTAGAATCTATAATATGTATGTGGCTCCTCTTGGATTATGGAGGAGCCTGCAATAGATTTTTGGTGATCTTCTCTAATAGATCTTCTTTTGCTTTGCCAGGACAGCTGATCCTCTGTCAATGTGAAGGCAGCTGCCGGAGACTTGTGACCAGCCACCAGGATCAAGGAAGTAATGGTAGGAAAAAAACGTGGATACCTTCCTACAATGTCACTCTCATCAATTGAAAGAAAAAAGGACTCAAAGCTTGTAACTGTAGCTTTGGACACATAATCTAATAACAGCAGTGATTCTTGTCTTCAGTGGGTGGTTCTCTGAGATTGCTGCCCACCTGACAACCCAAAATGACATGGGCACTGCCAAGACCTCAAAGGCCAGCACGATGAGAATGGCCAGAGCTCAATTAATATGCTATGAATCTCAAGGCCAGTCATAGTTGTCACCCGGTCTGACCTCTGATTGTTTGGAGCTGAAGCCATCACTGATCAGGTGAATTTGCATGTGAGGGAGGGTGAGGATGAGATGCTGGGCAGGCAAAGCTTTCTGGTTTCTGTAGAGATTGTGTGGACACATTCTGATCCACACTGCATTGGGTGGGAGTTGTGCACACATCACAGATGGAGAGGAACCCTGCAGATTTGGTAGCAACCTGGATTGGATGTTGGGAGAAAGCTGTTGCATCTGTCCTGTGTCTTCTGGGAATCAGACACCGTCATGCTTTCAGGGGGTCAAAGAGAAGGACCCAGGACCGTCTGGTGTCTTCCCTTAGGGTCTTGGCATCATGAGAATGTGGTTAACTTCCTTTGTAGAACCTTACTTCACATCCAATCTGTCACTGAGCCTAACTGATCCCATATTCTTAACTCAGTCCCTTCTCTGGTTATCCTTCCCAGGCCCCTTGAAGATACAATGGCTATCCTTGTACCCCCATGGCCTAGCATGCAGTGCCAGGCACCATATCCCCAGTCCCTGAGGTTTGTAGAATGACTCACTCACTAACCTGGGGACTGGGGAGGTTCTGGAAGCTTGTAGGTTTCAACAGCAGGAATGCAGCCCAACTGCTTCTAGAAGCACATGCAAGAGAGAAGCAAGGAGGTTAGTGTGATTATTACTTGGGTCTAAAAACTGATATGACTAATTACAAATGCAAAAGTCACCACAAATGGAGAGTGGACCAAGATAATTTGGGGAGGGTAGAAAAAGTGTAGACAGGTCACCTTTCAAATTGTTTAAGGAAACCAGGAAGTTGGGGGTGCAGTTACAGTCAATGGCGATAAGTGGAAGTTCTGAGCCCCATCTCCAAGGGCTTCCTCTCCAGCTGGAGTGATGGAGGAGACAGGTAGGGTCCATGCTGTACCACTGTGAGGCTCACAGAGGGTGGTGCCAGGGCCATTTGGGGTGTCATGGCCTTGGAAGACTGAGATCTGGTTTTGAATCTGAACTTGTCACTTGCCCTTTGTGGGACTTTGGGAATGTTTCTCTTTGATCTTGGGTTTCACATCTCTAAATGAGGGACAATAATATTTACCTCAGAGGGTTGTGGTAATGACCAAATAGGTCACAATTGACAATGTCCACTAGTTTCTGGCATTTACTACATGTTTGGTCAATGTTAGTTTACAATTATTATCCTATTTACTAGCTTGTGCAATGCACTACTTTTCAGAAACTCAGATATGTAAGAGTGCTTGGTACATAGTTGATGCTCAATAAAAGTTTATTTTTATTTTTAACTTTTAAAAAATCTTTTTATTTTGAAGTAAGTTTAGACTTTTAAAAAGGTTACAAAGATACTAGGGAGTTGAGCACTTAACTACCCTGTGATACCCTACACCCATCTTCCCCTAATGTGAATGTCTTATATAACCATAGTACAAGGATCAAAACCAGGAAATTAACAATGGTAGCATACTATTAACTAAACTGTAGACCTTGTGTGTCCTTTCCTGTTCCATGATCCAAACCAGGACTCCATGTTTCATTTAGTTGTTGTATCTCCTTAGGGATAGTTCCTAATCTGTGATAGTTCCTCAGACTTTGTCTTTCCTGAGTTGACACTTTTGATGAGTACTGGTTAATTACATTGTAGAATATTTCTCATTTGTGTTCATATGATGTTTTCTCATGATTAGGTTGAGATTATGCACATTACCACAGCAATGATGTGTTACTTTTAGTTACCTCCCCCCTTTATTATGGTAAAATACACACAACATAATATTTACCATTTAAACCATTTTAAACTGTATGATTATCGGCATTAAGTAGATTCATAATGTTGCCTTACCTCTGTCTAGTTCCAAACTTTTTCATCACCCAGAAAGGAAACCTCAAACCCATTAGCAGTCACTCTCCATTTATTTCTCCCCCAGTCCCTGGAAACTACAATCTGTGTTGTCTGTATGGATTTACCGGTTCTAGACATTTCATATCAATAGAATCATATGAAATATGTGGTCTTTTGTAGCTGGCTGCTTTTACTTAGCATAATGTTTTCAAGGTTCATCATCGTTGTATCATGGATCAGTGCTTCATTCCTTTTTATGGGTGAATAATTTTTCATTGCATGGATCACATTTTACTTTATATTCTAATTCAACAGTGTGCCCTGGTATGGACCCCGGGGCTGGGCCTGCGGGATAAGGGAAGGAAAGGAAGAGAGCCCCAAGCCTGGCAAGAGGCACTGTGATGTGTGGGGATGAGACGGTCGCGCTGGGGAGTATAGGATTGTATTTACGTGAGGCAGACAATGTTTATGGAGTCCAGTGTAGAACTGCTGTTACTGGAAGCAGACTTCTTTGATAGTTTCATTTGTGGAAAGAGAATAACAGTTGTTCATGAAGAGGGGGAGAGGGGTCCAAGGATGGGAAGGCAAACTCCCCCTGGGGTGGGAGAAGGTAGTCAGTCCCCTGTGGCACCCAGCCTAGGAGGTTTGGCTCCACGACAGCCCAGCGAGCAGGTTCAGGGAGCCGTTCCTGCCAGAGAGGCGCGCATTCATAGCTTTTAGAGGAAGGGGCGCCTCCCTTTAAGCAAATCCAATGGTTGAAAACTTCGATTTATCCCAGAGGTGTGCTGAGTGGGAAGGCAAACATTCTGGTTTCCCAAACGTCGTACCCCAGTCGCTCCTTAAATAGCAAGCGTCCGCAGGTTTCCTCGCGGGGCTCTGGAGCCCGGAGGAGGCACGGGCGGTCTCCCAGCGCGGAGGACAGCGCAGGGAAGCCTGGCCCAGCCCACCGTGCCCACGGCGGTCTGCCCGGGCGCGCCGCGGCCCGGGGCGGAGGGCGGAGCCGAGCGCGCGCCCGCCCCGCCCGCAGCCCCAAGCCGGCGCGCGCCCAGGCGGGGCGGGGCCCGGAGGCGGCGGCGGCGGCGCGCGTGCGCGGGTCGCGCGTGCGCGCTGCAGCGGGGCGAGGGGCGGCGCGGGCGCGCGTCTGTCAGTGACAGCGGGAGGGGGTGGGGGCCGGAGATGGTGGCGGCGGCGGCAGCTCTTCCGACATGAGGCAGCAACCGCGGGAGGGACCGCGGCGGGCGCGGCCGCGGCGGCATCTCTAGCTCGGGGAGGCGGCCCCAGGGCGTGGGCGCGGGCGGCGGGCGTCCCGGCGGCGTCGCGGGAGCCCGGCTCTGCGGCAGAGCCCGCACCCCGCCCGGCCGAGGGGCCCGCGCCCGCCGCTCCCTGCGCTCGGCCCCGCAGCCCGGCCCCGCAGCCCGGCCGGCGCATCGTCGGTACGGGCGGGAGCGGCGGCGCGCTCGGCTGGGGAAACAGGCCCCGCTAGACGGGCCGCTCCGACGGGGGCAGTCGCCAGCCACGGGCTCCGCAAACTCGCGGGCCGGTGCCCTCCCCCACCGCGCCCGCCGCTGAGGGCAGGGCCAGCCCGGAGTGCTGGGGGCGGCCGCCCGGGGGCGCGGGCCGGGGTCGTCCGCCGGGCTCGCAGCGCCAGGACCGGGACGGCCGGAGCCCCGGGTCCGGCCGCGCGTTGCCTTTGACGCATCGGAGCGCCGTTTTCTGCAGGATGAAGGGCTTCTTCTGGCCGCCGGCAGAGTTGTTTTTGCGCAAGCGGCTCGCGGTGCTTAGAGCGCTCAAGGTCTGAACTTCCCTCCAGAGCCGCAGTTGGAGAAGGCGAGCGTGCGAGGAGCTGCAGCCGCGCCGAGCGGAGGCCACCCTCGGGGCGAGCGGCGCGCCTCCCGGCTGAAGGCGGCCAAGCTCCCAGGACCCCCCGGTGTTCTAGGTCCGTCCCAAATGGTTTTTGTCCGCCTCGAAGGGGGGACGGTGGAGGCACTGATTAGCCATTATCGACAGTTTTTGTGAGCATCTGGTGCCTTTCCAAGTCTCTTGCTGGAGCCACCACTTAGGAAGGGCACAGCCTTCGTGGCCTTCAGGGTTGTGTGTGCCTGTGTGTGTGTGTGTGTGTGTGTTTGTGTCTGTGTGTCTGTCTGTGTGCAGAAACGCCGACTAACTCTCATTGTTTGCTGACAGGTACTGGCGAGGCGACCCCGGCCGGGAAAGGCGCGGGCGCTCGGCAACATGGCTTCCCCGCCCCACCAGCAGCTGCTGCACCACCATAGCACCGAGGTGAGCTGTGACTCCAGCGGAGACAGCAACAGCGTGCGGGTCAAGATCAATCCCAAGCAGCTGTCCTCCAGCCACCCCAAGCACTGCAAGTACAGCATCTCCTCCAGCTGTAGCAGCTCCGGGGACTCCGGGGGCGTCCCCCGGAGAGTGGGTGGCGGAGGCCGCCTGCGCAGACAGAAGAAACTGCCCCAGCTGTTTGAGAGGGCCTCCAGCCGCTGGTGGGACCCCAAGTTTGACTCAGTGAACCTAGAGGAGGCCTGCCTAGAGCGCTGCTTCCCGCAGACCCAGCGTCGGTTCCGGTATGCGCTCTTCTACATCGGCTTCGCCTGCCTTCTCTGGAGCATCTATTTTGCTGTGCACATGAGATCTAAACTGATTGTCATGGTAGCCCCTGCACTGTCCTTCCTCGTGGTATGTGTGGGCTTTTTTCTGTTTACCTTCACTAAGCTGTACGCCCGGCATTATGCGTGGACCTCACTGGCTCTCACCCTGCTGGTGTTCTCCCTGACCCTGGCTGCGCAGTTTCAGGTTTTGATGCCTCTCTCAGGACGTGTTGACAGCTCCAATCATACTCTCGCAGCCAAGTCCACAAACACTTGCTTATCTCAAGTGGGGAGCTTTTCCATGTGCATTGAAGTGCTCTTTTTGCTCTACACCGTTATGCACTTACCTTTGTACTTGAGCTTGTTTTTGGGGGTGGCTTATTCTGTTCTTTTTGAGACCTTTGGCTATTATTTCCGAGACGAAAACTGCTTCCCCTTGCCGGCAGCCGAGGCCCTGCACTGGGAGCTGCTGAGCAGGGCCCTGCTCCATGGCTGCATCCACGCCATTGGGATCCACCTGTTCATCATGTCTCAGGTGAGGTCCAGGAGCACCTTCCTCAAAGTGGGACAGTCGATTATGCACGGGAAAGATCTGGAAGTGGAAAAAGCCCTCAAAGAGAGGATGATTCATTCTGTGATGCCAAGAATCATAGCTGATGACTTGATGAGACAGGGGGATGAGGAGAGTGAGAATTCTGCCAAGAGGCATGCCACCTCGAGCCCCAAGAACAGGAAGAAAAAGTCTTCCATACAGAAAGCTCCTATAGCATTCCGCCCTTTTAAGATGCAGCAGATTGAAGAAGTCAGTATTTTATTTGCAGATATTGTGGGCTTCACCAAGATGAGCGCCAACAAGTCTGCTCACGCCCTGGTGGGTCTCCTGAATGATCTGTTCGGTCGCTTTGACCGGTTGTGCGAGGAGACCAAGTGTGAGAAAATCAGCACTCTGGGAGACTGTTACTATTGTGTGGCAGGGTGTCCTGAGCCCCGGGCAGACCATGCCTACTGCTGCATTGAAATGGGCTTAGGCATGATAAAGGCCATTGAGCAGTTCTGCCAGGAGAAGAAAGAAATGGTGAACATGCGAGTTGGGGTTCACACGGGGACTGTCTTGTGTGGCATCTTGGGCATGAGGAGGTTTAAATTCGATGTATGGTCCAATGATGTGAACTTGGCCAACCTCATGGAGCAGCTGGGAGTGGCCGGCAAGGTTCACATTTCTGAGGCCACTGCAAAATACTTAGATGACCGGTACGAAATGGAAGATGGGAAAGTTATTGAACGCCTTGGCCAGAGTGTAGTTGCTGACCAGTTGAAAGGTATGTGCATCTCCTTGCATTGTCATCTCTCTCCCCATCCTGTTTGCATGAAATGAAAAGAAAAAACCAATTCTCCTTTCAGCGTCAGATTCTAGAGGTAGCTCAGTTGTCTCAGGATATTTACCATGGGGGAATCTCAGGATCAGTGTGAGTCAAATATCACAGATCTATTCACACTGCAGAAAGGGACACTGTGGCAGAGCTGACCTAGTGAGACCTTTGGAAGGAAAGAGAACTTTGAAAATACATACATCACCAGTTGGCTGTTGACATTCCTGAAATTCTAGGGGGGGCATGTCCATGGGTGTCAGGGCATGAAGCCCTTCAGCAGTCAGAACTTCTGAGCACTTAAAATAAATTGCCTTGGCATTTCATTTAGTCACTCTAAGTCCCATCCAAACATTTCTCTGTGCCTTTTTTTTCTTTTTTTTTTTTACAAAAATGTGAAGAATAAAACCTCTCTAGGCCTCACTTTGCTTATTGTCACAATAGGGATAGGATGTCAGCTCTGTCCTGCAGGACTCTGGAGAATTAGATGGAAGTATATACTTCTAAGTGCACACTGCCTTTTGCCGAAGGTCTCTTTTTAAAAAATGTTTGCATTTGCAGCTTTCATTTGTTTAAGGATGCTTTATTACTGTGGTGTTTGTCTTATTACATAGACTGTAGACCTGGGTCTGTTAGAATTTCGAACTTCTCAAGTCACCAGGTGGTTTGGAAATGGGAAATGCCCCTGGAGGAGCGTTGATATTCCGTTCTTCTCACTCCTTGAGCTCTGTATCTGACCCCTTGTCCCTGCTTTTGAACTCCTTACTACTATTCTGCATGTTTCTACTGGGCCGCTACTTTTTTCTTTTTCATATAGGACGAAACTCTTTGAGGTCTAGGAAGTAATGTGTAAAATAAGTGGGAACTAAAATAAAGATTCTAAGTAATCTACTTTTCTCCCCCTTCCCCCTTCTTTTAAATGGTCCTTTAAATGTTTTCCTAAAATCTTCTGGAGTGAGGGGAACATCTATTTTGGAAGTATGTAGAGAAAATAACATTGATTTTTAAAAGCCTACATTTGTAAAGCTGTATTGTATTTTGTGGTGCCCACATGCTGTGTAATTATACAGCTAAAAGCCCCCAGGGAAGAAGGATCCTCCGAAGGAGAACTAATAGTTTAAATCAGAGATGGGAGAAGTAGTAGTTTCAACCAGAGACTGCAGTGGTTGAGTTAGGGCTTGTATAGGTTGATTGTTGGCCTTGAAATAATCCTATGTGCTCAGTTGGCATTTTGCTTTCTCTGGCTTTGTTATCTGGCAAGAGTACTTTATCCTTCTTGTGATTTTTCTTTATTACCTTAATCTATTGTTGAAGAATTTATGGATGTAGGAGAAAAATATTTTCACCTGAGAATTCCCTTGACTTAGTTTTACAGGCTATGTCAAGGAGGTCAGAAACTTTGCTTTGCAATTCACTTGAAAGATCCTGCCGTGACAAGTGTCTTTCTGTTTAGGAGGGTGGCACCTACCTGCTCTTGAACCTGAAGGTGTTAGTGGACTAGGGTATGGATGTTACCGCTGCTCGACATTTTGGCATTTTAAGGACCCGAGTGTGTGGGCTCTGTCCTTGGGGACTGTGGGACAAATATAAGAGAAGGGAGCTTGCTGCATTACATTAAACTAAATATGTTGGACCAAAGGACAAGATAGCAATTTTGTAAGCTGTACTGTATATAGTATATTACTTGAATTTCAAAAATAAAAGCGGGTATAATTATTATGTTTGGAAATCACCAAGTCATTGAATCTTTGAAATTTTTGTTAATTTATTGGTAATTTTATTTTCAATTTGTAGATCAGGAGTCTCAAAGACACCAAAAAAACAAAAACCAAAAAACCCCAAATGCTAGAGAGTGGGTTTTTGATTTTTTTTAAACCTCAAATTGTGTAAATTTGGTAAATTAACTTTTTCTTTAAATTTGTATAGTATATTTTAAAGGAAAGTTTTAGTATTGCATGGAAGGTAGGAAAAGATAAGGCTTAGCTAAACTGTTGATTTTTTAATATGGTATTCTCTCCTTTAACTGTTTCCTGAGATCATGAATTTTGCTTTTTTCTTCAGCTCATTTTGAAAACCTTTACGTGTAGAACTCCAGGAATAGAGTACATCTACACAACTTCCTGACCCTTTTGGATACTGTCGTGATGTTGTACAAAGCTGATAAATTGAGATGATAGCATAGATTATAGAAGACCTTTCAAACACTTGGTGAAGCTTCTATACATCAGGTTTATTTTAGCATTCTGTCTTTAGGCTGGTAGCAGATATTTTCTCTATACACGATTGGGTATTAACCTTAACTTCTCATCCCCTTTTCTTTTCTTTTTTTTTTTTTTTTTTTTGAGACAGAGTCTCACTTCGCCCAGGCTAGAGTGAGTGCCGTGGCGTCAGCCTAGCTCACAGTAACCTCAATCTCCTGGGCTCAAGCAATCCTGCTGCCTCAGCCTCCCAAGTAGCTGGGACTACAGGCACATGCCACCATGTCCGGCTAATTTTTTCTCTATATATTAGTTGGCCAATTAATTTCTTTCTATTTATAGTAGAGATGTGGTCTCGCTCTTGCTCAGGCTGGTTTCGCACTCCTGACCTCGAGCAATCCGCCCGCCTCGGCCTCCCAGAGTGCTAGGATTACATCATCCCCTTTTCTGATAATAGGGTTGAAAAGACCCAGTAGAGGACTCTGTAGAAATGAACATCAGTAAAATGCGCAGGGGATTCTAGAACCAGCCTGGCGATGTGAAAGGAAGCTACTCTTGTCTAATTTATCTGAACAGGCTCTGTGGAAGGTGGAGTTTCATTATTTCTGCATATTCACTCACTCTAAAATCTTCACTGTGCTCATACTTCACACCTGGCACTATGGATTAGAAGATGGATTCATGATAATTCCCAGCCTTGGCGGACTCACAGTTATAAATGTTGTTATAGCGGATGTCAAGAGTTGGGAAACACTTTAGAGAGGTCCTTATGCTTGACGTGGACCCTGAGATGGAGCCATGGCTGTCCATGTGAACAAAAGAACACTGGGTACAGACAGAAAGCAGGGGGAAGGGCTTGGGATTGTTTCTCGGTGGGGTTGGGCAATTGTACGTAGTGCTTCAGCATGAGGAAGGTGGTGAGTAGCATGGGAAGGAGTTGGGATTTGATCCTGTAAGTGATGGGGAGCCACTGGGCCTCTAGTAGGAAGGAGGCTTAGGTCATTTGATTTGCAGCTTTTGAAAGTTCACTCTTTCAGGTCTAAGGTGTGTGGGTTGGAAGGGGGTGAGACTAGAGACTAATGAGCTGTTTGAATAGATCCCAGGTGGGAGTGATGGTGGCCTGGACCAAGGCAACAGCAGTAGCTGTGGAGTTGAGGGGGGCAGGTATGAGTATGGAGATCAACTTGACAGGACTTTGAGCCAGATTTAAACCAACCACTGGCAGGAGGGGAGGGGCTTGATTGTTTGAATGGGAGATGGCATTTTAAGTTTCTGGAATTGACCTGGAGATACTTTGGAGTCAGGAATATGAGAGAGGCCTTTGAGGTTCTAGGGTGTGAATGGAGAGCGCAAGACTGAGTTGCAGAATATGAAATAGACCTGGACCCCTTGGCTTGTTCATTCATTTAGCAAGTAATTGATTCTGTGCTATGCACAGTTCTAGGTCCTGGGGATACAACAGTGAACAAAACAGACAAAAAGTCTTGCTGTCATAATGGGGATGGGATTTTTAATTAATAATAGGCCTTCTAATAGGGGAATTTTAATAAAGGATTCAGCAGGGGAGTCAAACAATAAGTTAATATATAAAATTTGTGTTAAGTTCTGAGGAGAAAACAAAGCAGGAAGGGGGACATGGAATATGGGTGTGTGTGTGTGTTTGTGTAATCTTACATATGGTGGCCAGTCACTGAGAGATGGTTGAAGGAATTTCAGCATAGGGCTAGGATTTCGGAAATAATCCCTAAAATAATAGAGAATTATTAAATATAAGGAGAAATGGTCTGATTCAGTGATGGGCAGAAGGCCCCTTCCACAGCATTTGGAATGAACTGCTAGACCAAAAGGCATAGAGGCCGTTTTGGGTCACTGGCAAAAAGGTGTAAGGCATTTTATCTAGAGCTGTTGGTTTTTCCTATATCATAGATACAAGGTCACAAAGACAGAAAGCGAAACTGTTAGAAAATATCTGTAGATATCTTTTTTATCCCTTGTAATAGTAGGAAGATAGGACAAAGAAGGAAGATGGAACAGTCACTCCAAATCAACACCAACTATTATGTCTTTTTGGAAAGGACTATCTGGTAGCTATCACATTGCTAGATACAGAAATTTAAAAAAGCCTTTTCCTCCAGCCACACTTTAGGCTTCTGGAGCAACTGGGGGAGAGATCCACTGGTATTCATTTGGGCAGATTATCACTCATTGGCACCTCCACAACTGAGATCTTTGCTTTTCCTTGGAAGAATTTGTATCTAGGCCCTTTCTGGGGCCACTTCTCAAACTGACAGTGGACCGAGACCCTCTATATGTGTTAGCCTTTGCTGATACCTGTCCCAACCTGGAAGTCTGTGCTCCCTCTTGACTTATGGGCACAAGCCTGTCAGTTGACAGCTAAGAGCCCCAGCCAAGTGCTAGTTTGGGGGGCAGTTGGATGCTCTGGTATGTCCCTTGCTCCCCAGGATAGCTTGGATGGCTTTTCCCTGCTAAGCATGTAACTCTTGCTACTGTGGTGCTAACCCGTTAGCTGATAGCTCAGTCTCCCCTCTTGGAAATTCCATGTTTACCTGCATTCTCAAGTGGGGTCACTTGCAAATGTCAAAACACCAGACTGGACCCAGTGGCTTACACCTGTCATCCCAGCACTTTGGGAGGCCAAGGCAGGAGGATTGCTTGAGGCTAGGAGTTTGAGACCAGCCTGGTCAACATAGTGAGAGCCAGTCTCTACAAAAAATAAAAAAATTAGCCGGGCAT